ATAACGATTAAACTGTTCAAAATTAGAATCTGAGTGTAGCAAATAGTGGATACCATGTCCGTTATCATTGTAGATTTTATAACTAAAATGATCGACTGGATTCTGACGTATAATCCTTATAAAAAGTTAATCAAAATCATCATCTTCAGGAGAGATACATATTGGAAAAATGTCTTTTCTCTCTCTGTAAATTGGTTATCCTGGTCGTCAAGTAGATATCGGAAATAGTAGTCTCCCATACAAATGCTAGCCATCTTAAGCGTTGCTGAACCTCCGGGAACCACGCGGTAAACGTTATTTCCAAATTGATTCAGCTGTAAGCTGGTCGTGCTTGAAATAAAGTCGCCACATCAATCGGAATATGTTTGTTTCCATAATAGGAAGCAACCACAAACGCGAGAATTTTGTCAAATATTTCCCGTCGCACCACAGACCATGACTGGAACCCTCATTAGAAATAAACAAGGAAATCAAAGGTGCACTTACAGACCCGGGCCTAACAATGATTTACCATAAATAGTTATTCGGTTTTATATATGCCCGCTAGATGACGCTCGGAAATCCTTGTCTTTGATCCGTTTAACATGAATTCTTTGCAACTTAAAAAATGAAAAAAAATAAAAATAAAATAATCCCCTACTCATGGAATGTGAAACATAATACATTCTTTAGTCCATTCATTAGCTGACAAAAGGACAATCTTGTTCGTAAGGAAATATTCGCATACTTTCTGTTATTACAATCTTGTAATTGTAAGATTTTTAACGCGAGAGTTAATAGTATTAAACCACTTGTAACTTATATATTTGTTGATTTACTTATAATCTATCTATCTATCTATCTATCTATATATATATATATATATATATATATATATATATATATATATATCCTAATTATATCATTCGGACCTCAAATTACAGGAATCTCTCGATTAGTGTGGATAATGTGTACATCAATAACTATAAAATAGTATGGTTAAACTGAAGAATATTTTACCGCACTAATCGAGTATTATGTATTCACTAATCGAATTTTGGTATATAAAAACTTTAGCGCACTAATCGAAAACGCATTAATCAAATGCGCATTAATCGAGGGATGCCTGTACTCTATACTTTATCTTTGTCCTCAATAAACTTATGGTAGCCAATCGATATTTAATGATGATAATAATATACGCGCAAAAAGGGCATAAATTATTTGCTATATGTTGAAATGAAATTTTGAGATGAAATATATCGTTATTCCACAAATTATTCAGAAGAACAGATGTACCTATTTTTACTATTTTTCAGCCGCTAAGTTCTCCGACCATCCTCGGTTATACGCCGTAAACTAGTGATCATGTCACCATTCGAAAAAACTAGTTACTTTTTATGTACATCAGCATATCAGCTCGAATGCCATGAATTAGAAAAAGTGGGAGGACCACTTTATTGTATACAATTATAATTTGAGATCTTTAAGAAATTTATGTTAATTTAAATTTAACTTTTGAGCGATATTTTTATTTACTTATTTTTTTAAAACGGCATGGACTTCATGCAAGGCAGTAAAGCCACTAAGACACAACGGGTTACAGGGTGTGGAAAAATTAGAAACAGAAACATTAATAATAATCGGGAAGAGGATAGAGTAAACAGGATAATATTATTTTAATAATAGAGTATTTGACTGCTAAGATAGATATAAAATATATATAATGTAGTAATTGTAAAAAAAAGTTATTTTTATATTTATTTATTTATTTGTTACTAATGTCATCCAGTATAAGGACCAAGAGCCAACCAAGGTAGAGGGTACTGTGCGGATTTATATTAACTTATGGAAGGACAAGCGTTAAGAGTATAGAGTAGACTTTTATAAGGGGCCAGAAACCCAATCCTAACAAGTAAACAAGGGATAAAACTCTACTCCTGTTCAAAAGATCGGGGAGGAGTGTGGGGCCTCAAAATCTAGGGGGCGTCAAGCCAAAATGTATATTTTTGACTCTGCCATAAACACACATGCTGTCATAACGCAATATAGACTCTAAATAAACCTTCAATAATTTTAAACACCCATCATCATACTCAGCTTTACTCAAATTATTTAATTTAACACTCTTCCACTTTCCTCTACTCATGAGAATTGGGGATTTGGAGGGGGCCTCACAAATGGAATAGACTAGGACCTCTCTTCATCTAAATCCGGTCCTGGATGTGGCATTAAAAATGGCATTAGGATGTATCTATAGTAATTGGTTTTAGACTGGTGTACCTTCGAATCATTTACATATTAACACGAGTAATAGGGGATATTTATAATGCTGTAAACTGAAGTATTTTAGCACTGGCTGTATTTATAGTTATATAGTGTACTGTAACATTGATTGTACTTATTAAGTGACGTATGTTGTTAACATTACAGTGTATTTATAGCACTAAGATTTTGATGATAGTATTTTAGACAAGCGTCCCTTAGCACTGTATTTGACTGGTGGGCTGGTCAAAGTAGTTCACAGAGTATCAAAGATTCGTCCAATACATCAGAATATTTTTAGCGAGTCTGAAAAAGATATATACTGATTTGTGTTTTTTATTATTATTATTATTATTATTATTATTATTATTATTATTATTATTGTTATTATTATTATATAAAATTTGAATTTTTTCTCGAGATACTATACTTACCCTTCCAGGGCTAATAATTATAGGACATTAACTTTTTTCTTTCTTTTTTTACATGCAACACAGAGTTTCTCAACCGGCGCGCACCAAAGGAAGCTAGCCAGATGCGCCCTGAAAGGTAGCCAGATGAGCCCTGAAATATAGCCAGACGCACCGTGAAAGTTAGCCAGATGCGCCCTGAAAGGTAGCCAGATTTCCCCTGAAAGTTAGCCAGATGCGCTCTGAAATATAACCAGATGAGCCCTAAAATTCACTCAGATACACTTTGAAAGGGAGTCAGATTCCTGAAAAGTTGCTAGATATGCCCTAAAAGGTAACCAGATGCGCTCTGAAAGGTAGCCAGATGCGCCCTGAAAAGTAGCCAGATATGCCTTAAAAGGTAACCAGACGCGCCCCAAGTGTGACACTTGAGGTGTCTGAAGAGTGAATTATAAATTATTTTTATATTTAAAAAAGCTTTATTTTGAAAAAGCTAATGACACAAAGCGAATGGCTTCTATGTCTAAGTCTTTATCATTTGATATTTTAAACTGGATCCTAAATTCCTTAATTTTTAAGAAGGAATGGATAATCCTTTCTCTTTCGCCTTCCTCAAGGGATTTAAACCACTCATCATCGGCATCTCTATAAAAAAAAAGCAGGTTCTTCTTAAATCTCTTTAAATGAAAACTGTACTGCTAATCCTCTTTGGGAATGCTAAACCAAAAATATCAACCATTAAAAGATCATTTTCTTTATTATTTTCCTATTTTCAAATTCTAGGACTAATTCTTCCTTATTAAAATGTAAAGTGCCCCTCAGAGTTTTAGTTATTTTACAAGTGAGGAGTTAAAAAAAAAGATTAAAAAGCACTGATGTAAAATAAGGTACAGATTAGTCCAAAGCATATCTTAAGTATTCTTCTTTTTTATGTGTCGTGTCTCTTAATGATGTGGGCGATCATAGCTCTCCACAACGTTCTGTTCTTTGTAACTCTAAGCAACGTTTATCTTTTTACTACCCCTTCCAGTCTCTGATCTCTCGTCCATTTATACAAAATTCATTAGATAGCGTACTCACTATTTCTCTCTACTACTATTGCCTTGAATATGTTATGTGAGTGTTAAATTCTCCAAGCCCTCCTTCCTCATTATGTGTCCCCAATATTTCTACTGCCTCTTCCTGATTCTAATTATTTTTTTACTAAATTTTCACCCAATACAAGTTTCAAGAGCCACTCAAGCTAGAAGGCTACTGAATGAGGTTGTTGCATAAATATAAAAGAAGGAAATAAGTGATGATTATGAGGATATGTAGAATAGATAATGGTTGGCCCTAAGCTTGAAGAGGTTTGTCATTTTTTGCTCAGCTGCTCAGTCTATGTTATTCTCAGCATCCTTCTGTAGAACTACATCTCTATTGCCTCAAGTCTCTTCTTCGTCAGAAAGGAAATTGTCCAGCATCCATTGCTATATAGGAAGCCTGATATTACATTATTAAGCATTAATAACTGACATTTCTAAAGGGTCAAGGGTCAAACATGACATTTTGTTAAGCACGATTAGGCACTGCTAAAGTTATCAGATGCTAATAACAAAGAAAAGGAACAAAAATGTATTTGTGGGTCACTTCTGGGTGCTTTTTAAATGTTATTAATCATAAAATGTCTATTTCTATTAATTACTTTAACATAGGTATATCCAATAATTCGCAAAAAAAAAAAAAAAAATCAGCATAGCATGATGAAAAAAGGCCCCAGACTTAATAAAAATAAAGTTTTATTATGAAAAAGTTTGTTATTAATAAGAGGAAAAAACAAAGTATTTTTTAAATTATTTTTTTTAATTTATTCCTTTCTAGCACATTTGAAATTTTGATTGAAAATCTTGTTTTGTTTTTTATTTAGCATTAGTTTTTTTAGCGCTTTTGTCAGTTGAAAAACACATTAATTTGGAAATTCTTGTAAAAATCAAATAATTGTCGGATATTTATGAAACTTTCAGAACTTATTCAAAAATGAATGAAATTATTTTAGAAATGTTTGTTTTTTAGAAAGTCATGGCAAAAATATTTTTTTACATCTGTTACACCTCCCTTAGTTAATTTTATGAAAACTTGAATACGAGCCTCTTTCTAATTTTTTTAATTAAAAAAAAATGCACAAGACTTTGAATTGAAACTCACAAAGATAGAAAACAAACATTTGTTTGTGACTATTATTGACTAATTTTGCTTTTTATTACAATTCTGATTAAAGTTTAAAATTTAATAGCAGAAAACATCTCACCTTGTTTAATAAACAAGAGGAAGAGATTCTTTAGTAGAGAGAGGAACCACGACATTACCATGCCAATAGTGCTGTTGCTTTTAGCAGCAGTCATATTTTCTGCACGTGTGCCACAGCCAATCAAATGATGCGCAACGATATTTAAGCTCCGCCCACTATGATCATTGATATATATATACTTGCAAAAACAGCTGCTTTGTTTATTTTCAAGGCGTCTTCGGTTGCATTTGGATTGCAGAAACTTTGACCAAACTGGAATTTAATATCTGACTGACTTTAACAACTTGAAGAAAAAGAAGACAAGATTTGTTTTAAATCAAGTTAAGGATTGCAGTTCAAAGAGATAAAAATTTAAGAAAAACGGAGATCTTTACAACTACGAAAATCGTAGTGCCAGTACCAGCCAGGAAAGAAAAAAAAAGACTCCAAGAGAGAGG